TATATATTATATTTTATTTATTCTTTTTATATGCTTCTCCATGTAATATTTCCATTTTCTTTCCATTTACCATGGGATTTTTTAAAAATTAAAATATAATATATATATATATATATTTTTTTTTTTTTTAATTTAAAGTGAAGTTTCATTAGATTTTATGCAATATGATATACATATTCAAAATTTAACTAGTATTTTGAGCGAATTATTGAGGGCTTATAATCGAGGAAAGAAAATTTAATTATGCATAAATTTATTTCAATCTATTTTGTGAGATTTTCCGTTATTAATATTATTAAAAAATATTAAATAAATTTAATAAAAAATAATTTTATTGTCTTTTATATTCTTTTCCTTAAATATCTTCATATAAATCAACATCATTCATAGCACACATTTATTGATTTAACTTCTGAGTAGTTTTCAAATACAAAACAATTTTTAAGCTATAAATAAACAAGTAGATAAGAGTTAATAACTTTTTCCCACCCAAATAAAAGCTTAAGATATTCTCAACCACGAACTTTTAAAATATCATTATTATCTAAATTTATATTTTGACGACGAATAAAGAGCAAACTTGGTTAGGCTGTTGAGACTTTTAAAGAGTCCCAACCGATGAGACTAAAAAAATATTTACAAATGAATTTCATATCCTGGTTTGTTGACAAGGTGTGGGATTGTGGTTTTTAGAGCCACCTGCTTGGCAAATAGTCCTGTCAAATTGTGGGTTCCAAGGGTTTAGGGCTTAGTTTCAACATCATGATCACTATAATTGGGGCTTTTTCTTTATATGAGAACAGGTACAATGGAAGTGGAAGTGGAAGTGAAACGTTCAGGAGAGACGATCAAGACCCTGATGTAGACCTTCGTCAAGGATCGAGCAAGTAATGTATATGGAAACAGAGTAGCAGCTCCAGCTCGTACATACATGGACCAAATGAGCTGAATCGCTACCTACAAGTGGACTTATCTTTATGACGATGAAGGAGAAACTTGACATGGATAGTCTTCAATGGGGGAACCAACATGAAAGTCGATTCCCCGTGAGCCCAAATGGCACGCGACATTTTATCTGTGTAGTTTCTACAATTGCATCTGAGTCAATATTTTCAAAGAGTGGCCGGATTGTTGAAGACAGAAGATGTTATTTAACCGATGAGATGATTGAAGTGATAAAGTGTTTACGGGATTGGACTCATGCAGAAATAAGACTACAACAACACCCTGAAGATCCCGAACTACTCGAACTCTTTAAGAATATAGATTTGAATGATGTAATATTGTTGACGATGAAAATGAATAATTTAATAAAAAAATTATTTAATTGTTTATTTGTGAAGAGTGAAGTGTGAAATGTGAATATTACATTTATGTTAAATTAACATTAATTTATTTATTATTTTTTAAAATTAATTTAACTTTTAGAAACTTACTAATCTACCCCTAAAAATACTAAAAACCCCCTACAAAATTTGTTTCGCCCTAAATTATAAAAAAAAAAATCAGGGGGAAAAATAAATTTTTCAGCCTATAGGACCAGTCCGGGGCCTAAAATTGCTATGGGCTGGGACCCATGAGCGGGTCCCATTTGGGACCAGTCCTAAAAGGACCAGTCTCAAACGGCCCAAGCCCGGCCTACTTGGGACTAGTCTTGACCAGCTCTAGTTGCAGAAATAATAAGAATCTCTATATCTTATATGCATTCAGATAAAGGTATAAAGATAAAAATATCATTAATTTACAATAAGATAAGTTTTAAAGAAAACTAACAAAAAGAGATTTATGTTATTTTTGTAACATTTGGGATGTCAATGGGGTGGGGGGGTGGGGTGGTAAGATACTAAAGGCCTTTACACTTTTGAAAAATGGTATTACAAAAAGTGTTTTATGTTGAGTTAAGTTAAATCAAATCGAATTGAATTGTCTGAAAATGTGTTTGGTAAAATATTTGAAAATTATATCAGATAAAATGTTGAAAGCTGTTTGGTACATTTTTTAAAAGGGGGTTTTAAGGCAGAATAGTTGTTTGGTACATTTTTAAAAATATTTAGATTATTTTTGAACCTCCTACATTTGTTAATTTAGCTAAATACCCCCACAATAAAAGTTAAAAAATTAAATAAACCTTAACCACCAAGAGGATAACCAGCACTAGTGCCAAACAACAACGACAGTCATCGGAACAGGCAGACCAATTGGATTTGGCCGATCATGCACTGATTGGTGTTTTTGGCCAGATCCACTGTGAATCTGGCCTGAAAATGCCAAATCTATGACTAGAATCTAGCTGTCATCAATGACCAGATCTCGGCCAGAATCTGGCCGTCAACAACCAACACGTGCATGACGACAGATTCGGGCGCGATGGTGTCAACGGTAGTGACAGTGGCCGGCGGTGGTTGTTGGCAGGCAGTGGTGGTCTTGGATGGATTAATTTTCAAATTAGCAGGAGAGAAAAATGAAAGGAGAGAAAGACAAATGCTTTCAATTGAATAGAGTTGATTATCTGAAAATAAGTTGACTTTTTTCATTTAGACAAAAAACTATTTGTGTGGATTAATTTTCGACTGGATTGGCCCAATAAGCAACAAACACATATCCTATTTTTTTAATCCAAATAGGATAATAGAATAACAATCCAAAATAGTGTAACAATGGACTAAGAAATCCATGTTTGCCCATGCTATCTCTTTTATATACCCAAACCACTCCATTATCCATTCTCAAAAGTGGGACGGGTTTGGGTTGTATTTTGGATCACCTCATTTGATCAATATATAGTATATATATATAATGGGCTGAGTTATCAATTTTACTATTCATCAAAAATCTTATAAATTAGGACAACAATCACGACCATTGAAGGTGTTGATGTTGGGGGTTTGAAGAGGAAGGACTGGTGAGGGAAGGTGCTGATTTCCGGTGAGTGAATCTATTGAAAATCGCAAAAATAAATTGGTGGCAGTAGTGAGCTGTTGTCGACAATGAACAAGGTGAACGAGGGAGGGGTGAGATGAGATTTGGTTAGGAGGCTTAGGGGAGTGATTTTGTGGTGATTTGAAGTGTTGTCATTGTCGAAAGCAGGCCCTATTTACCCTGGCTTGTCAACGCCAATGGTGGCGTTTGTGGTGTTTTGCAAGATTGGTGGTGTTTGGGGTGTTTTGCAAGATTTCAAACCTGTATGGGCTTATATGCAATTTTTAAGGGTGTTTTTGTTAGATTTCAAAACTTTTGACACCAGCTTGACTCGCCAATCATACCCGTTAAACGGTCAACCTGAGACCTAGCCACTTTGCCGGGTTTCACCCCAGATTGGTTATTAAAACAATGTATATAACATTAATCAAATGTTGAGACGACTAAATGTATATACAATGAATCACGAAACAAATGCGTCAAGGACATGCAGGCAACAATCATGTATATAACATTAATCAAATGCATTGTTTTAAAACCCAAACCGGAGAGCAACCCGCTTCACTACCTGGGTCACGAGTCAATCAGTCCAACCAGTTCGACAGGCCTGTTGGACCGGTGACGTCAGCACTGCCAAAAAAAATATATTTTTTTTTGAAAATCTTCAGATTTTCAATAAGAATACCAACTTAATTACTACCCAATTCAAACTCAATAACAATCCCAACATGATTTAACTACAATCCAAAGTCTCCAAAAATGATGTGTTCATCCATTACAAATTAAATGACAAAATACATAATAATTAATAACAAAACATTTGATGCAAGTGTTTTTTACATACAAATTCAGTGAACAAATTATGCATTAAAGCAATAGATTCATCAAATAAAGACATTGGAAATATCTTTACAAAAGAGAGAGGCGTCGTCTTCGTCGATTTTGAGTAAGTGAAGTGTTGTCATCGTCTATTCCAGCGAAAGAGGGAGGCGTCGTCATCCGTCATCATCGAGCAAGGGAGAAGAGAGGTGCGTCGTCGTTGAAATCCAGCGAGGGAGGTGCTGCCGTCATCGAGCAAGGGAGAAAGGAGGAGAAGGGAGGTGCGTCACCGTCGAAATCCAGCGAGGGAGGTGCTACCATCATCGGGCGACGCAATCCAACGAAGGAGGTGCTGCCGTCGTCGAGCAAGGGAGGAGAAGGGAGGTGCGTCGTCGCCAAAATCCAACGAGGGAGGTGTTGCCGTCATCGAGCAAGAGAGAAGGGAGGTGCGTCGTCACCAAAATCCAACGAGAGAGGTGTTGTCGTCATCGAGCAAAGGAGAAGGGAGGTGTGCCATCGTCGAAATCCAGCGAGGGAGGTGCTACCATCGTCGAGCAAAGGAGAAGGGAGGTGTGTCATTGTCGAAATCCAGCAAGGGAGGTGTTGCCATCGTGGTCCAAGGGAGAATGGAGTTGAGATTGAATTAAGACTGAGTGTAGTTACTTTGAGAAGGGAGTTGCGATTTTAGAGAGTTAAGAGATTGAAGAGAGTGGAATGGAGTAGAGTCGCATGATAAAAACTTAGATTTAGGGTTTTTTTCATTTTAAACATTGACCTGATTTACCAAGCAGTCCGGTTTGACCAGGCGGGTGCACTGTTCATCCAGTTTAATAGCGAGTTTAAACGGTTTTTTAACTAATAGAGGTTTTTATATTAGTTCAAACCAGACACACAACCAGATCCCGGTTGAACTGGTTGGATCGGTCCGACTTTTAAAACACTGATCAAATGTTGAGACAAATTTGCCGACAAATTTGCCTAACACCTCATATTTAGTTGGTTGCCTAGGATTGTTTGCGGGTAACTTTTTTTTTTTCCTTCTTAGGTAGGTCTAGATTCTTGAGGGATCTGACCTAAAGATTTCGCTTGGTCAATGATGGCTGCGTTTCGGCATCACGTTGGGTGTGTATATAAGTTTAGAATTGACCTACTGAAAATACTTTAATATCCAATTTGGAATCTGGAAGTGGATAAAGTGGATACGAGGGGCGGTATATGGCATTATAAAATATGCATCTCAATCGTCAAACCCAATTTCTGATATCAAAAAAGGACGCACTCCAAAATGTATTTTAAGCATGTCAAAACAGTTTGCTGGTATGAACAAGGTATGTGATAAATTGCAACTGATTTTTATAATTACTAACAACTACAGATACAAGGTATTAAATTCTAGAGTAAGAAGATTTCAAATGCTTTCATCAATTGTGCACTATCAAAAATACCAGCAAAATCAAAACAGAAACAAAAATGGAGGATAAAAGGGAGTTAGAGTTGGATAATCAAAGACCAAAATCCTCTATGTCAGTCATGCGACTGGTATTCTCAACAGACCTCTTGTCAGTCTGATTCACCACCAGCTGACCACATGCTCCCATTATATCCTGACCCATTTGCTTACGAACTGTTGTCCGGATGTTATATGTACCTCTGAGAATTTTCTGAAAGCTTGATACTTTCTCTTCACTGCTCGTATTGAATTGACTTAAAGTACCAATCGAATTGAAAGATATCAAATTCACAACCTGCTCAGAGGGCATTTAATGAGATACAAGATTAGGAAAAAAGAAGCCCATATGAAATGACAAAACTGTCTAAGCTTGACATATATAAATAATCAGTATGTCAACCTCGCCACTAACGCATAGCCACATATTCCACAGTAGAGCTAAATAATCAGCATGATTGTTTTCAAATCAATAAACCGGCGAAAGTTATAATAGGTAGAAACTAGTATAGATCTCTAAGTGAGTTTAAGACATTAGATGCAGTTTCTGATCAACAGAAATATTTAGTTTCAGTTCAACATGATTGGAATTTCATACCAGATCAAAGTTCCAGTAGATCCAAAGAGCTTCCTTGCATATGAAGAACAATTATTTTAATCATGTATCTGGAATTCAACGTACAGAAAAAATAGTGGGACCATTTCAGACTCCCAAATCCAGTAACATAGATACCAATCCAATTATTCAACTGTATATAAGCTTTGAGATTTTATTAATTTAACTATTTGTTAATGTCTTCTAATAGGTCAGTGGCTTGATGTTATACATATAAAACAATTTTGCCAAGTTAGATAAGGAAATTTCCAGGCCTTTGCAAAATCACCAATGAAGTTCATCCATAGATTCGCACAGATGTTACAAGCACAAAAGAAGAATATTATTCCCCATGCTCCAACTTTCAAATTCAAGAACTTACCACTTGAAATGTCTCGAGTAATTTGCCAAGTTGGTGAGCATGTTGCTCTTCGTCATTCACCTTATCCAGCATGATGTACTCAATAAATATTTTCTGCAGACTGAAAGTTTAAGATTGAAAAATGAGTTAAATTCTGAATTGATACACGAGAGAGGCGAGAGAGAGAGAGAGAATACTGCAAAACAATTTTCAAGAAACACAAGGCTCGTTTGGTTCACATATTGGGAAAAAGTTAACTTTATTTCACCTATTGTCAATAGTTTTCAAATTATTCAACTTCCTTAATCCCCCCAAATTTGTAATTTAACTAAACAACCCCCAAAAAAATTTTAAAAATTGACAAAAACACCCGAGTAACCCAAATTTACCAGATTCCGGCTACCACTGTCGGAAGCTGGCCGAATCTGGTGTAATGGCACACTCCCGGCTGAATTGGCCGGTAGTGCCACGATCTAGCCTTTTCCAGCCAGACCACGTTGGATCTGGCCAGAAAATGTCAGATCTACGGCCGTAGATAGTCGTCAATGACGGCTAAGATACGGTCATCGTTAACGACCAAATGCGCCAGATCTGGCCGGAAAATGCCATATCGGCCCATGACCGACAATATCAAACCGGTCATACGCCGATAAGGCAACTCGGCCCCCCTCAGCGGTGGTGGCCGACTGTCCGTATTATGAGTGGATTGGGGGTGTTTTGTTAACTTTGATATTTTATTATAGGGGTGTTTAGTAAATAAATAAACATAGGGGTATTATGTTAATTTTTCAAAATTCTACATCGTAATACCACCAATTAACTTTTTTCAAAAGATTATTCTAAAAACTACCCAATAAGAACCAAACAAGCTTAAATTGCAAAACAATTTTCGAAAACATGTGTAATAATTGCAACCTGTTTTTGATATGCATGAAGCACCATAAGTTTTTCCAGAGGAAAAGCTCGTGCTGCAGGCATTATCTGGCAACGGACTCTTGAACTGGTGCATGAAGGGACACAGCTAAGTTCAAACCTGGTAGATCACTGTGAAGCTTATTGATAGCATGAACAATGCCAACCTACAGGAAGATTAGATGAATTGGCAGGCTTGTAAGTCAAGTGTCTCCTGCATTCTAAGCCATTATGACATTTTAACTAATCAATGTAATTTCGAGGATCCCACTTGATTCAGTTTTTCTTAATAAGAAATATGCTGATTTTGCAGTTGGACTTATCGAATGAAAAAGGAAAGATGAGAACCATGCTAGGAAAACAACAAAAGGGTCTCATCTGAAAGGTAGTACGGGATTCATAAATAACTCACATGTTCTATATTATGGCGAGCACTAGTGAAATTGAATTTCATAATATTCAGAAGAATGTTTTTACCCGATTCTTAAACAAGAGAAAAAAAAAATGATAACTGATAACTTTATATACTATTCATTGAAATCCAAAAAAGAAAATTGTAGAACATCAGCTAACAATACTTACGTTGAACGTTATTCGCTTTGGTGACAGCTGAAATGGTAATCCAGTCATGATACGAACAGCTCCACTAAAGAGGCATAATTATTCAACGGTTCCCCCATTCCTGGTCAAAAACAGAAAAGCAAGGTGCAAACTATTATCAACCAAATTAGTGGTGATAATATTAGATGAAACTGCAGGCTCACTGCATGTAATAAAGTATCTGTCTATCAGAAACTTTTAATGTGCTTTCCGTTAGGAGGAAAAAAAAAAGCATAAAAACTTATGCATCCTGAAGTTTAGGAAATAACCCTTCTGCATAGTAATTCACCAGAAGAAGCTCATAAATTTTGACACTGAGGGAAATAAATTTTAAGAAATGGGACAGAAGAGTAGTTCAGTTTCTATTATTTGAAAGAAATTAGGCACTACAACTTCCTCTAGTACAATTTTTGGAAAATTCCAGGTTTAACATAGTTTATTCACAATATAATTACTCAGTAATTCATACGCTAGTTACATGTTTGGGAAGAGTTATATCACAGAACTTATTTTACCTCACTAATTTGTAAGCTCATAATCTAAGACCTATGTGAAAACCCCACCTCACAACCCAATTTTGCTACTTGAGTTAAGGCCCTAGGTTGGCACCTAGTGATCCTCAATATAAAAGTTATAAATTAACAATGCATAAAAATCATATTATTTAACACAATCATTTCATGATTGATACAATAAGCACTAGAAATACAGCTTACCATGAAAACAACATTGCGTATATTCGACAAGCGAGAGGCATGGACCAATTGCTCCACAATTTCCCCAGATGACAGATTGCTTTTAAACCCATAGTTCCCGTGGCACAAAATTGCAACCCATTTTACAGCCAACCGTAAACAAATGATTAAAGAAAAAATAAATCTTAAGACATACTGATGAGCATAATCAATTAAATCCGACGAGTCTGATCAATCGAAATTCAGGAAACTAAATAGTAAAGGTTACCTGGGATGAAATGCACAGGTGGACCTAGGGCCGCCAGGGCGAGGTTTCCCACAATATTTCCCCAAACGAGTATCATATCATTATCACAGCCTACAAAACTACCATTGTAACTCAATCATCACATAACACAAACCCACAAAAAAAATAACAACAAACGCACTTCATAAAATCTAATAAACAATAGATAAGCGTTAGTTTAATACCTGCAGCTTGACGAGGAGTTTGGTGGTGCATTGTCGTTGGATTTGATGGCGGAGTGAAGAGTGGAAGTGAGAGGCTTGAATTTAGGCGAAGCAGAGGGTAAGCAGCCGGGGTAAAGATGGGATTTCGTTCATTCGCAGTTAGGGTTTCAACACAAACCTTTGGTTCATAAAAGAAAATTGTAAGATTGCTGCGGTTAAAAAAAAGGAGAAAATATACGTATATATGCAAAACGCCTATTCCAGATAGTATGAATGAAGTGAGTGTTGATTCCAGCCTTTTCGAATTCGGTTCTAAGGATCCGCCGTCGAAGATTGATCGGTAACTCATTTTTTCTCGTTATTATTGTCTTTGGTTTGAGCGACAGGGCTTTGCTGAACGCTGCTTCAACAAACGAAGCAGTGAACGACGTCGTTTATGGTAGGAATAAGAGGTCTTCAGACAACTATTTAACTGGAAATACTTCAAATCTAATTAATTACATGTATAATAATTTTTAGATCTCTTAATAAAAAGTAAATTTTATTAAAACAAAAACCTAGCTTGATTAATTAAATTATATCTTAAATAAAATTGTTAGAACTAGATTAGAGAACCTATAATAACTAAATGAAAGCTGCACATGCACGGTATATATTTATATATATTTTTTTTTTAATTATTATGTTTTTGTGTTTTAAATATATATTTTGTATGAAGTTCATTTTATATTGTATTGATATAAAAAATAATAAATAAAATATCCACAATTTAACTCAAAGTTATATCATTAGTTCTCTCAAATATGTCACTATTATATCGTAACCAAAGTTAAACTTGTCAAGAAAAGCAAAAAAATTTGCAGGATAACCCAGTTATTGTTGATAAATCTATATAATAGGAAAAAAAACTTGTTAAAAATGTAAACTTTAAGCCAGAGACTTGCAGAGTCAAAGGAAAAAACTGATTTTGATTGTTGGAAAAAAAATGAATTATTTTTATATATTATTTTAGGAATAAAAAAAATAATAATGTTGAGAAGAGAACTAACATAAAAAGCAATAATAACTTCAAGAGTATAATATGAAGTATTGAAAAGTCATGAAGATAAAGATGTTGTGACACAAATCCATTTGCTGTAATTAGAAATGACTACACATATAGCAAAAAAAAACATTTGATGAGCATCTAAAGAAAAACGATAATTGTAAACCCAAAACCCACAAATCAAACAACAAAATTAATCATCAATAAAAAGATAAAACAAATACAATAAAACTATATAATATTTGTTTTCTTTGCCATCACTAAATTGAATTTGTTTCATGTGCTAATGATAAATGAAGGTTCGAGCAGGTCATAGTTTTTCAAATTCATCGTATATATATCAAATTAAAGTCCTGTATTTCTAGTTTCCAAAGATTAAACCGCTAATCAATTGATTTATTGAGCAAGTTAGACTAATTTACTACTGATGTTCAGTGAAAATCAAGAAACAGGAGAAACCAAAGTGTGGGATGATAAAAAGAATGGTTCGGCAGGGGGCTCAGTTATCCAAATTAAGTATATATATATCAAATTAACGTTCTGTCTGTCTAGTTTCTAAAGATTCAAACCTCTATCAATTGGATTTTTATTGAACAAGTTATAGAATTTACTACTGATTGTTCATGAAAACTAAATATGTGTGATGATAAAAGGAAGGTTTGACAGTGGGCCTAAGCATCCAAATAGCATATTATATCAAATTAAAGTCATATATGTTTGTTTCTAAAAACAAACCTCATCAATTGGGTTTTATTAGGCAAGTTATGGTCAATTTATTACTGATTGTTCGTGGAAATCTCAATGTATGTGATGATAAATGAATGATTTACTAATACTACATGGCTTGACATCAAACATCAGTGATATTTGTTAAATAAATGAAATTAGATATTCAGCAACAACATCTTTTCATGATATAGTATGTAACAAAAAGATATCAACAAAAAGAGATAGAACAATTAAATTAAAATTTTATATCAATATTTGTTTTCCTTTAAGGATAATAATAATGGTCGACACATAACAAATGGTTTACTAAAGCTACATGGTTCGACAACAATCAGATGATATTTGTGATACAAATAAAATTGGTTATATTCAGAACAACTTGTTTTCGATATAGTATGTAAATAAAAAAATATCAACAAAAGAGATAGAACAAAGACAATTAAAACTATATATCAATATTTGTTTTCTTTTGATCATAAAATTAAATGGTTTATGTGTGTGATGATAAAATAAATGGTTCGATAGTAGGTCTATAGTTATCCAAATTCATTGTGTAATATTATCTTTCTAGTCCTTCCATATTCAAACCGTTCACAATTGGATTTTTATTGAGTAAGTTATGGTCAATTATTACTAATTGTTCATGAAAATCGAAAACAAGGGAAACCAAAATATGTGTAATATAAAGAAATGTGGTTGGAAGTGAGGCTACATTTATCTAAATTAAGATATAATATAAAAATTAAAGCCTATCTATCTAATTTCTAAAGATTCAAATCTCTCATCAATTGGAGTTTTATAAGTAAGTTATGACAAATTTATTACTGATATTCAGTGAAAATCGAAATGTGTGTTGATAAAAGGAATGATTCGGCAGTGGGGTTACAGTTATCCAATTAAGATATATATATCAAATTAAAGCCATGTCTGTCTAGTTTTTAAGATTCAAACCTCTCATCAATTGAGTTTTATTAAGCAAGTTATGATCAATTTACTATTGATTTAATGGAAACCGAAATGTGTGATGTGATAAAAGGAATAGTTCGACAGTGGGGCTACAGTTATCCAAATTAAGCATTAATATATCAAATTAAATCTGTCTATCTAATTTTCAAAGATTCAAACCTCTCATCAGTGGATTTTTATTGAGCAAGTTACGGCTAATTTACTCTGACTGTTAGTGGAAATTAAGAAACAGAGGAAACCGAAATGTGTGTGATGATAAAAGGAATGTTCAACAGTGGGGCTAAAATTATCCAAATTAAGCATATATATATCAATTTAAAGCTTTGTTGATCTAGTTTCTAAAAATTCAAACTTCTTATCAATTAGAGTTTTATTGAGAAAGTTATGGTCAATTTACTGCTGATTGTCAGTAAAAGCGAAATGTTGTGATGATAAAAGAAATGGTTTAGTAGTGGGGCTACAGTTATCCAAAAAGCGTATGATATATCAAATTAAGCTCTGTCTGTCTAGTTTCTAAAGATTCAATCATCTCATCAATTGAATTTTATTGGGCAAGTTATAATCAATTAACTACTGATTGTTTAGTGAAAACCGAAATACGTGTGATATAAAATGAATGATTTACTTAACCTAAATTTAATGGATTATCAGTAGGACTGATAAGAAATATTTCAAATAACACCTATTAATTGGAAAATGAATTAACCAAAATTAATTCATTTAGCATATATACTTGCGCATAACAAGACATAAACAATTAATCATTCATATACAAATTAAAATACACGAATGTTTTATAAAAAAATATTCACACAAAGAATTGTTATACTATATAGATATGACACATATTCACAGTTCGACTGACAATATATTATCCTCGATTTAATCTTAGAAAAGTACATAAACATTTCCTGAAAACAAATATAACAAAATTTAATCGACTTTATGTTAAGATTGTTAAGGAACAATTATTCATTCGTATAACAACTATTACCTAAAAACGAAATCAACAAAAGTTAATTAATCTTCATATTAAAATTGTTAAGGAATACACTTCCCTTGTGGTAGGACTAACACAATTAATCATTCAAATAAATTGACTGAACAAAAACAATTAATCAATCAATAATAACTGTTAAAATAGTTAGGAGATATACTTACAGTTCATATTAAATAGTTAGAAGATATATTTATAGTTCAGAAGAACGAATCAAAATAATAACTCATTTGACAATGTCAATCGAACATCTGCCTATATTCCATTTCAATTCATAATATTTGACCTATAAACAACAACAAAAACATAATAAATAAAAAAATCATTGATAATAAAATCATGAATAAAAGACATATTAATGACATAAACTAGCATGACCTATAAACAATTAACAAAAGACTAGAGGTATTGTTGACACCAACTAACGTATTGCAATAATATATAACTGAACATGCGCCCCTTTTATAACCTCTTATCTAGACCTTCCAAATGTCAACACAATTAAATACGAATTGAATATGAAAAAAAACGTTTACAATGTCAATACAATGCATCTATATAATTTTTAATAGAAATCCTAGATCGATGTCATTAAACCATAATTATGATAGCAATTTGTTAGTGAACGACCCACTTACGTAGCGGAAAACAAAAAAACATAAATGACATGGATCGTTCCTTAGAAACAAGATCGGCATAATATCACAGTTTATACAAATATAAATAAATCTGCAGAAAATCAAATTCAAGATTCAATTTTACGCACGTTGGAGGTTCCACAACTTTGTCTGAACGTTTTACTACCGACTCAAGTGTAGGATCGACGATTAAGTCCACACAAGACAATCACAAGAAACTAAGGAGGAATTTGCTAGATCCTCCTTAGCCTTAAGAAACAAAGAAGAAAATGAGTATTTGATTTGGCTAAACCAAAATCTGAAAGTGGCGTGGGAGAGTGTTTTGGGGGCTGGAGAGTTTTTCTCTCAAATGAAAAAGTAATCGTAATAAAATGAGTTCACACACTTTTTCAATTAACGCTTTTCTTTATAGTCTTATTTTACTTGCCTATTCCCATATAGAATGGGCTTGGGCTCCAACCCAAACACCCCTTGTATATTTTAATTATCATTATCTCAATTAAATTAAATTAATATATATATATATATATATATATTAACATTTAACAATAATGATAATTTATTTAGATATATGCGAATACATATTTAAACATAATTTCACTTATTTAATTTTTCTAATAAAATTAAATAAAGGCTATGACCTCAACAAATTTAATTGCACTATAAAATTACCAAAATACCCTTTTGTCCAAAAAGACGAAAATGCCCTTCTTTCTTTCTGACTCTTAAATTATCTTCTATGTGTGTGACCCATAGGCTCCTCATCATACCGGCAGTGTATAATATCGCGATTAACACCAATTAATCGTCTCACTAATACACAGACCAAGATTGACCCCTAGCAAGACATCATGGTCACCCGATAGATTCGGATTCAGCAAAGTAGCTACCTGTCAACGATATGGTTACTATACAATTCGATCATTTCATTATATGTTATCTTGACGAGACGAAGGCATAGAAATACTGTCAACCTCCGGTTACTCTCGATATTATATATTCAGTTTTTGGACCAATTACCTGTATTATAAACCAGATTAGAGCAACAACTCGATCCCACTGTGGCCACAGTTTTAATGTCATTGCCATATATTGAATTGCGCTGTAAGATAACTTCTCCTGTACCCGAGAGTGATGAATCCTCTATCAATCCACCATAGTCTTGATACACTCCTTGATGCAGCCAATCACCACCATATTGACAGCTCTGAATAGAACCGCGTTAGGCTAGTGTCAAACTGCACCAATCGGTGCACAAGACGCTCTAGTGACCTCAAGTCTAAGGATCACATGTACCACCATTTGTTAGAGGATTTTTTCTATAGACACTGGGGTTACCATCCATATGGAATCCTTTGGTGGGTTAATCTAGTGAACTTGCTACAGTATATCCGCCTACAACAAGCACCCATGTGTTGCACCAGGTTATCACAAAACAACCTTGACAAGTAAGATCAGTCACTGCCTCTCGACAAGGTCGTTCAACACTATAATAGCCTTACCGTATTATCTGTGCCCTTACTTTAGAATAATATTGGGGCTACGGATGTTTCTAGAATGGCCACCATATGTGCTCATAGAGTTCTTCTCACTATCAAGATTTGAAACACTTGATACCCTCGTCACGGTTCTACCATTCTAAGGACATATATCAATACATATTGTAATAATAATGATTTACGAGATATAGAATAAAATGCCTTTTATTATTGATTAATGAACATTATTACAAAAAGTCAATTCTATAATAATTGATTAGCTCTAGCGCATTTACTCTAACAAATCCAATGCACATGTATACTTGTTATTAATGCACATCCAACATGTCAAAATGGTTACAGCTTTGAAATGCCAATGCAATGCACCTATATTACTATTATTATTATTGTTGTTGTACTTATATTATTATTATTGTTGTGGTCGTCGTCTACAAATCCAATAATTTTTATTAATTATTAATTATAGATGGAACAATAAATACAAACCTAACGTGTTAAGATGAAGCAATTTGATTGGACTCATTAAACCACAATTCTCAATCTAATGTGTCAAGATGAAACAATTCTAAGATGAAACAATTCTATAGCCCCAAAATGAGTTCCAAAATGTGCTACGTAATGTAATCAAGATGATATGAACCTTTGGAATATCAATGCGAAAAGTTTGGGTAATGTGCTATGTAATGTAATCAAGATGATATTAACTTTTAGAATACCAATGCAGTGCATTAATATTACATTAAACCTAATCAAGAAAAGTTTGGGTTGATATGAACATTTGGAATATTAATATAGTGAATTAATATCTCATTAAACCACACATCCAACATAGCAAGAGGGAGCAATTCTAAAGCTCCAAAATAAAACAATTTTAGAGCTAAAAAAAAAATAAAAGAAAAAAGTGTCCTAGTGTCACTCAAACAGGTATACTTTTATCAATGTTTTAAAAACCGACCCGGGACAAAACCCGGCAAGGTGGCTGGGTCCCGTCCCAGGTCAACCGGTTGAACCAGCTGGTTCAACCGGTGACATCATCATGCTGATGTTAGTGTAAAGGGAACTGAATACTAAAGCTTTGACTGAATGAAAAGGGAACTGAATACTAAAGCTATGACTACAGAATAACACACACAACTAAGGAAAATATAAGTTGATTCTAGAATGAAAACTAATTTCTCGACATGAAGATTAAAATGTAACTAGATCAAACAAGAAATTTCAGTTGATGTACAATACAATCTTTAATAACTTTATCACAGCCGGACTGCTAGTGTCAAAGCACAAGCATAATGAACAAATTTCTCATCAATTTAGCCATTCTTGCAAAGTGCATAATAACAAACTCCAGTGAATTACTTGTAATAAACAAATCAAACATGAAGGTGATCGACAAATTCCCACTCAATCAAAAACAATGGACTCCTAGGAGAACAGAATGTGCAAATGTAAAAATGCCTCCGCAAACTATTAAGGGAAATGGGACTGCAGCCTACGCGTCAAAACAATTCATCCAGAGTCATCAAGAACCTAGAAACTTTAACACAAAAAAACATTTTTACATCAGCCAACACAACTAAGACATCTCATGCACAAGAAGGCCATAGCCAGCCTGAAACAAAAAAATAAGCCTACACCATGACAGTTACCTGGTGTTGGTGAAGATGAGCTGCCGTTCAAGCGTTGACAATTAAGTTGACCATCGAGGAGGTGGAGCTCAGCTGTGAACAAGGCAACTATGAAGAGCTGAGATTCAAGCAATGTGACAGGAAGAGGCGACAGTTCCTGTGCTAGGGATGGGAAATGCCGTGAAAATGTGTGTGTGTGTGTGTGGAGGGGGGGACGTTGATATTTGAGGCTTTTACTGTTCATTCAATATATATTATATAGTTAAAAATTTATTAATTTTATAAATTAGATGACCCGGATTTTTTAAAACTAACGGTTGGACCGACGGGTGCTACAGTGCACCGGCCCAGCCGTGGGTGTAAATGGGCAGACTAAAATTAACAGTTTTGAGCCTCACCCGGCCTGACTCACCAGCCGGGTCCTAATTGAACCGGTTCAACCGACTGGGCCGAACCGGGTTTTAAAACATTGACTTTTACCTTTGGATTTGAAATACCAATGCAGCAATTAATATCTATCTACATCACCAATAAAATTCAACCACATGACAACCATAAATCCTACGTGTCAAGATGGAATAATTCTACCGTCACATAATTTGAAATTTTCAGAAATCAAATTGTGAATAATAATGTGAACAAAAAGCCTTTGTCTAAGGACATTTAATGGGGTATAAATAAAAAGCTTTGAATTCACACACTCCACACAAATAGTCAATTCATGAAGGCAAAAGAAAAAAGTCTAAATTCAGAAAGGTAGCCAACACACAGTAGCATTCACGAGCAACAAACATTGCACCTACATTATCTGAAATGAGAACTAATATTTTTGGATCAAATGATAACTTCAAAAACAAACCACAACATGCATTGCAAACTGACATCTAACCTAAAAACTGCTTAATTACTAAGAAGCAAGGAGTGCTTCAACTTTTGCAATCTGATCTTCTGAATCCTTCGGGTTGGGACTCCTGTTAGCATCCTGAAACAGATCATGCTTCCACTTTTCACCTCGAGTAACATTTGAGGAAAACCCTTGCCTTCCATCAAATCTATCTCTTCCCATATAATCACCACCACCACCACCACCACCACCACCACCGCCACCATACCTCTGTCCTGATAGATAGCCAACCCTTTTGTGTTTCTCCCCTGTTTGGCAACCTATCTCCTGTAGGTGGCTTCTTAGCTCTATCTGAATGGTGGGAATCACGGCCTCTCTGCTGCCTTCTTTCACTTCCTAGTGCAGGATGGTTGGGACGGCTCACCTTGATTGATTCTTCTTCTGCTTCATCCACATTTTCAGAGTCCAATGAGATCTTCTCTTCCCTAAATGCTCGTCTTTTCTGGGCAGGTGGTTGTGGATCAGTATCCAACTTGAAGAATTCATCATGGCGCCAAACACTGCTGTCAACCCCCTTACCTTGTGATTTCTCATCTCTTGGCCATGTATCATATGCTTCTTTCTTGTCAGCAGCTCTTTCATTTCTTTGACTTCTTGAATCCCTCTGCCATTCTCGGTCTTAAAGAGAAGGAATAGTAAGAATGGAAATTTGACACAAGAAACAATATCAAAGCTCCAACTCAAAAAGTAGATATATGCACACGGATATCAAGATCAAGGAGAGTATCAGCTAGTGTTTAGACAGCGATAACATTCACAAAATGATAAATGACATTTTGCATTATGCATCAAACTAACATGGAGCTCATGCCTTTTTCAATAAAAAAAGAACAACAAAACCATCAAAAAAAATTCTTGAGAAGGAACTTTAACACTCACCAGAAGCAGCTCCACGACCAAAGCTTCGACCAACTTGCCTGGCATTACCACGCTCATCGTGCTGTTATAAGACACGCACAGGCAAGCCTACAATTGTTACATACATGGAAGCACTTGTATGCACGGGGCCGAACAAGAATCCCACAACATCAACCCAGAAAAAAGGTTTGCATACACTGAATAACAACCAAGTAATTGAACTCAACAGAAAATACAGGCTTGTTCAGTTGAGAAAATGATCAATCTGGAGTTTGGAAGAATTTTCCAAGTCAACTTGGAAGCATGTTTCAAAAACTTTTGGGCATAGATTGTCCAGAGGACACTTACACATTGAGCAAAAGGGTAGATTTCACTAATACTTTGATGCATGCAACATAATTGGCTTCCACTTAATTTGATTAGATAATAACTGGAAGCAAAGACGGAGCCAAGATTTGTTTATTGGGGGCAAGGCAAAGAAAAAAATTTCAAATATTATCATTTATGAAAATGACTTTTTAATTCATTAAATTGCCTAATAAATCTTCGTATACCAAATAATTTTGTCTTTATTTATGTGTTTGATTGATACAAAAGAAAAAAAATTAGAATATATTGATATTTCTAAAGAACAAAATAAAATAAAAGTGGTGATAATGCTTGGATTAGGCTATTTTGATTAATAAAATAAAGGGTGTTAAAATTAAACATAGAATAAACAGGTATAATGAAAATTTTCAAGTGGCTCCGTCCCTGATGGAAGAAAAAATTCAACAGGCACGTGTTAGATTCCTTATTTTATTTAACAGGTTTTTACTTAATGGGTTCGATGAGCCTACTGTAGTTTATTACTCATTACTGGTTTGTTATGGTTTATAAGTAACACACATTTGCCATGCACACACAACCACAGATTATATATGGACCAAGCAAAGGGGTCACATCTAATTGGTACAAAGGCCAACTATATCAGCAATTGTCAAAAAACTTAACAGTCAGACGGCGAGAAAATATATTGCCCCCTTAATTTAAAAGTTCCCTCCATTATTCATCATCTAGAATCAATGAAACCATATCAGACATCTCAGCAATGACGCCCAGAAAAGGTGAATATTTGCAGTTTGAACTGCTTTATTCCTAAAAAGGAAAAAATACATAGAAAGTCTTACTTTTGGATATTCTACTTAATTGCGCCAACGTCCCAATCTAGATCAGAAAATTCTTAGACATAGCTGGGATATATACACTCTGTAGTTTCTATGAAATCATAAATCTTAGATGTAAAGTGGCAAAAACTATTAGCATGTAGCTTCATTAACTAATCATTTATATAAGCAAAGCTGCCCAAATTAGTAGAGAAGAACAAAAAACAACTGAATGAATAATCATAAACTGACACAAAAACCTGAAAATAAGTTTGAGAGCGCGGTACATCAGTTGATAAGAAGAACGCTTGTTTTTCTCACAAGTCCATTGGTTTCTTGTCAGCTTCTTTGGTCAGAAACCCAATTTCAACCTTAGAATCAGGTGCAGCTGGAGCTCAAGGGTGATGCCTCTGTGAGCCTGGCACGCGTGTTGATCTGATCTACATGGTCTTCAATACCAAATTATGCTGCTGGGTGCTCTCTCTGATGCTGGTTTTCCATCTCTCCTAGCTTTTAGGCTAGGAACATAATAATATAAGAAGCCCAACTAGGATTTGAAGACCAAAAGTAATTATTACATGCTCCTAGAATGCTGAAATAGCTAAGGAACTAAATATGCCACAACTTCAATTTTAGAGAGAAAAGATAATGCAATTCATGCATACCAATCGTTATAAATCAGATGACTGGGTTGTAACATCATATACTAAAATTTATACAATTTACCAGATATCATCACCAAATCTACACAATGCTCCAAGTAATAACGGAATGAGCAGCAAAGGAGGTCACACAGTGCCAAATTGCAATATAAGATCCAACATAAACACTTATTATACTAATGCATAAACAAAGAAACAGCATACGCATATACGTTCACAGATCATAAAAGATAAAAGAAAAATCCTTTCATGAAAATGTTGACTAGGTATCCAAACTGACTGCCTCTCCAACTTACAGTTGTCATATACAGTGCTTAAAAAGATATGTTCTGTAAATTTGTCTTTGCAAGAGGATAAATTTGTTTCTACAAACAGTTGAAAAAGACTCATGTTAACAACTTATAGCATTCCATAAATTACATCTACCTAACTTAAAAAATGGACCAAAAACCTTAAGGGGCAGTCTATTCTGCACACATTGACTGAACTATACTATCAAACATGAAATCCAACAAAACCCACCTGGATTTGTACATTACTGATGAAAAAGAAGATGAATTGTACCTGGTTCTCGGTCAATCCCGAACGGTTCGTCTGGAGTCAGAATCCCGACCTTCGCGTAGAGACTGGCTTTGTTTTGAGAATTAGGGCTCTTTCAGTGGCAGTAGCAGTGGGTTATGGGTAATACTAATAGGAGTTACGAGTTGGGGTTGGGTTGGTTTATCTCATTCTATACAATCAATTATTTTTGTATTTTTATCTAATGGAATCAAGATGTGATCAGGCCACAGGATACTCATAAAGTATTGGTCAACATGGTCAACAGTCAAACCAAAGAAAAATAACCATGAAAAATTCTCTTTTACCTCCTCTTATCTATCATGATATTGATTAATCTTGAAGTGATATATTTAATGAAAAATTTGATAAGTTTGTAATAACAATAATTTTCTAAATGAAAGTAGTGAATTTGGAAATCCACTTAAAATTATCAAATAGCATTATAATTTTCTCAATGTTGAAACATATATTACACGGTCAACGTATAAATATATAATAATATAAATTAATGTTATAATTTTTTGTGTTATGGAGTAATTAGGTCACATCTAATCTCACAACCCCATGTGATAGTTGTTATTGGTCAACTCACAAATGAGTCCTACTTGTGTATGGGTCTATCTATTCATTTACGAGCTAACCAAGAGAAACTGTCACGCAGAGGGTTTTTAGAGAAGTTGTGAGATTGAATTATGACTAACATTATTGTTGTGTTACGTATGATTTTTTCAATAATGTTTCTGTTCTATTATTTTCTTAAACTTGGTTGGTGATGTCAATACAACTTTAACAATTACCAATGTTGGAAACCCGGACAGACCGTCTGTCACGATCCATGGTTCGTCAATGATTTCAGTTCATTAAGTATTAAAACTGATTTATTTAAACCTTTGTGACCGTTATTGGATGGTGGAACAAGTGTCAGATCGCCAGTCTAACAGATTAGATGAAAATCCGATCCAACAAATGTGACTGTTTTGAAAGGCAAAATCCCTGCCTTTTTTGCTTCAGCCTCGTTCTTTATCTTCATTTGTTTCTTCGTCTTTCTCCGGCTTCCAATCCAACTTCATTATCTTCTCTTCCACTTTATTCATCTTCGTTAGATTCAGCTTAGAAAGTGAAAGAAAAAAAAAGATAAGGAGAAGATCTGAAGAAGCAGAAGCAGAAGTAGAAGAAGAAAGAGGGGAAGAGAGAAAGAGAGGAGAAAAAAAGATGCAAAAGAAGAAAGAGAATAGAATATGGAAGAAGTAAGAAAAAAGAGAAGAGACAGCGAGAAAGAGAGGGAAAAAAAAAAAGATAAAAGGAGAAAAGAGAAGATGAGGTGACATTTGACACGTGAGAGATATATAAAGAAAAAGAGAGGACTGAGAGAAAGAGAGAGGGACAAAAGTACGAAGGAGAGAAGTAGAAAGAGAAGATGAAACGACATGTAAAAAAAAAAAAAATATATATATAATATATATTGATGACTAAATCGGTCTGACTCGTCGGTCAGATCGGTCGGACCATTCAGACGGAAACCGGTCACTTGACAGAGTCACCTTCGGTCTGGTTTCGAAACATTGCATTTACCCCAAATCTTGAACTCATTTAAATCAATATCTACTTAACGTAATAGCTTTCAATGAATTCACTATGTTTAAAAGGAAAAAAAAAAAAAAATACATGGTAAAATTCTCAATCTAAACTAAGTCTAGGTGGTTGAATGGTTCTAGAGAAACTATCGGGTGTATTACTTAAATGGTCATGAGTTGAGTCACTCCTTAATTGCTAATAGGAGTAGCCACTCGAACTCTTAATTGATGATAGTTTCTAAGTCCCCAAAGGTTAGTTGATGTGTGTATACACCGGCTTAGACATCCCTATCGTTAAAATAATAATAATCCAATGTATTATTCATATAAAATGACTTGGTTACCACCAGCTCATTGGAAGAGGTATTGTCTTATAATTGCAGTGGTGTTAGTTTTCTACCAATAGGACTCTCTTGTTTTATAATAACTAGATGGCACGCCCGGCGTTGTGGGTTTATTTATTATATTATTTTTATTTTATTATCGAATTTTATATTTTAAGAAATTGTAAACGACTATTGTTTCACAAACAAATATGTCAAATATTGATTTAATAGAACATTTTGTTATTGTTCTTTTTTTTAATCAGGTTTTTATGTTTAAGATTACTGAGAATCGTTATATAATTGTCATTTAGGATGTCGTTAATTGGTCCCCGTATTTGCTGTTATTGGTGTTGATAAAATAGGGATAATTCACATGCATTCAATTAATGTATGCAGTATAGATCTTTCACATTCCTCTTTTAATTTGATAAAATGCAAGTGATGGAAGATTGAAATGGCCAGTTTGTAATTCAGCAGGAATTGAATTAATGAATTCATACATAGAAGTTGAAAGTCCTGCAACTTATGAAAGTGGTTTTGACACAAAAAAATTAATTAATTGAAGAACGAAATAATCGTGGAACATTTTAGTGATAGGAATATATTCCCTTTTCAAAGCAAAAGAAGAGTTGCAACACTTTTCTTACAACAATTTGGTACAATAATATAATTGAAATGACAATTTGCCCTTCTTAAATTAGTAGTTTCTGCATGGAATATAACCATTGTTTTGAGGTCAACAGTTAATCTTTATCGTTTTAAAAGGTTGCCCAGCACCATGAAATGAGCAAAAATAAAATAAAATAAAACTTGTCATCCTTCATCATCCAACACAAACTCTATTCGCACAAAAACACAAACTATTACTAGCTACAAACTCCACAACAAAACATGTATAACCTATCTAAGAATGTAAGTTTGAACTTTTGTAATAAAAATATGCTTCATTGATAAACACTTTGCAATAAACATGTTTATAGGACACAGAAAAACAAAATAAATGGAAAATATATATATATTTAATGGTTCATACAACGTCTATACCAAAAAAAAAGTGTTCATTAAATTATTCCGAATGTTACCCCCATCAATGCTCACTGTGACCATCACTGCCAAGGTTGGCTGCATAATAAGGAAACAAAACGAATCAATTTAAGTTCAGAAATAAATCAGTAATAATATGAAATTTCATAAACAAACAATGGTTTAAAGTAAGAACCTGTGAGTGGGGCAATGGTGCCTACACTTGGAATGACCACTTCTGGTTGCTCAACAGGTGGTGTATAGGTTTTTGTTGTAGTGGAACAACTCTTAGTCAAGCACAGAAAGAAAGATGGGAACTGTAGTTCCAAGCTCCATGAATATATCAAAACTGATAATGAAACAGGCATCATTGATTCTCCAAAGAGCTTGATGCTAGAGCTTAGTTCGTCCTCAAGTCAAGAGGTTAGTCAAGTAGCTAAATATGAATATGAATATCCAAGAATTTGTTAAACATCGCCTATGTTAAATCCAAACTTAAGTTCTACGCAAAAGTTCACTAAAAACTTAAAAATTATATTTGAAAAACTCTTTGTGCAAGAAGTTTGAGTTTATACTCAAGAAAATAATAAGTTACTAAATTTAGTCTGGTTGCATAAAAGCACCCAGAAAAAAAAATTTCAACTGCATTTAGACATTAAGAAAACTGAAAGAGAAGTGCTTTTAAGATACACTAAGTTGGACATAAATCATCAAATTTTTACTCTATAAAAGAAAGAACTACCTTTCGAATATGGTCTCTGCTTTCCATCATGTTAGCTGCTGGGTTTGAGAACTAATCAAGTTCCTTTATGATATAAAAAAAAACAATTGAAAGGATGTTACTCATTATCCCATCACACACACATGCATATGCACACACATAAACACATACTATATATGCATAAATGTGACAAAGTAAGAGAAAGTTGTGCAATTCTTGGAAGCTAATACATTGTGCAGTAGCTAAAACATATCATATCCAATTTGATGGAGATCTATGGAAAAACCATACCATTATGCTGTGTACCATAATCAATCTATAAACTTCACATGGAAATATAGTAATGTATGAAAGAATAATACCAGACATTGACGGAGTAGTTAGAATGCATCACCAATAACCATGCTGGTTCCAAAAGCACTACCAGCAGCAATGGAAGTTACTCACTTCTCAATTGTCTTACGTTTCATCTAGTTTTCTAGCATAAATCTTGTGTATACAAAGGGCTGCAATCTCACGATACAAACATCATAAGTTCA